AGGATTTTTTTAATTAGAAAAAATACTCCATCGGCTGTCCCTCTCGCCCCTCGGTCTCGGCCCAGCTCGTGTAGGACGGCCTCCTCCCCGTTATCCTCCAGCAGGCAGCAGCTTCTCACTTGCTGCGATAGGGCTCGAGCAATCGAGGGACGGCACGGGCCTCCTGATCCAGCGCGGGCCTCTGTGGGGAGGCAGCGCGGCTGCATCGGGCGGCGCGGGGAGTACGGCGCGGCTGCGTCGGGCGGCGTGGGGCGGGCGGCGCAGCTGTGGGGAGGCGGCGCGGGGAGGACAGCGCGGCTGCAGGGAGGCAGCGCGGGGAGGACAGCGCGGCTGCAGGGAGGCGGCACGGCTGCATCGGGCGGCGCGAAGAGGATGGCGCAGCTGTGAGGAGGCGGCGCGGGGAGATTTGCTGGGTTCGTCGAGATTCTGAAGCGTCGGCTTCGTCGGGTACGCCGTATCCTCAAGTGCTCCTCCACGAAGACTCTGCCTAACACGGAATCGGGCATGATGATGGTGTCTGTATCGACATGGATTACGCCCAACACGTGTTCGATAAAATGCGCTCAAGGTAATAAGAATTTCTGACATCCTCCGTCGATCTACCTTCACCCGTGCGACCTTATTGAGATCCAGATCCCTATATTCTCTACAGCTGCTTGTCCTCCAAGGTTGCCTCTCTGGTACTCATGATGATCTCCTTCCTCGTCGGTGTGCCTTCGGCCTAATCTGAACCCCGTGGCTTCCATGCTGCCATGGCCCGAAGAGAGCTGTCCATCAACTTCTCTGAGGCTGCACGCTGGTGGTGCCACATACGACATGAAATTCCTAATCGGCACGCCACGGCATAGGTGATTGACGCTGGCACTTACCACGCAGTATTATTGCTTCAAAATATTTTGCTGCCTATTACTACTTTTTTTCTGGAAGTTTCACTCAGTAGAGTAGTGCTAAGCTTGATTGCTATCAGTCTAGCTGTAAATCTTAACAAGGTTTCCTGAATACAACGTAGGGTGAATATCCAGCTGCTTGCCAGTAACTACGGTTATTCAGTTAGCATGTATCAGCAGCTCACCCTCCTGTTGTTTATGATCTTTAGCATATGAACTTTGCAACGACTACTGTAGTCATGACCCTGTACTTATCTTTTAGTTGCTTGGTCAATTTTGGGGACTGCTATTTTTCTGATATCAACTGTTGAGGTGAAATTCAGTTACCCATTGTGATTTAGTGGTAGTTTTATGAACCCGTTGTGATTTAGTGGTAGTTTTATGGTAATCCGGCAGTTGATAATATTCATTTGACTGAGCTTCTTGACTAATATAATTGTAATTTTCATGGATTTAACCAAATGATATATATAGTCACAATATTAATAACCAAACTCTATTGACCGTTATATGATTTGTGCATATGGATTCTTCAGTTCAATGTTATAGATATCTGATAAATCTTCAGGCTGTGTTTAGTTCGTGAAATTTGAGAATTTGGCTACTGTAGCACTTTTCGTTTTTATTTGGCAATTAGTGTTCAATTATGGACTAATTAGGCTCAAAACGTTCGTCTCGCGATTTCCAACCAAACTGTGCAATTAGTTTTTTTTCGTCTACATTTAATGCTCCATGCACGTATCGCAAGATTCGATGTGATGACTACTGTAGCACTTTTTGGGAACTAAACACAGCCTCAATATCTATATTATAGTTTGGAGCTGTAATTTCTGACATGCGCTATGCATTGAAACTCACTTAGTTCACCATTTGCAGCGTGTAACTGGCAGGGACACATAAGCGTTATAGTCAGATGAGATATGCCAGCCTAAGGTTATTTGGCCCCTTATCCCTTTTTTGCGGAAACAAGAGGGGTCAAGGATCCCAGGTCACTTTGAGCAAGATATAAGGTCTACTTTTTCTCCAGGTCAGAGCTCTTTCATCATTGGGAATGTCTACGATCATTCCGGTATGTCTCTAATAGAGCATCTTTATCCTGAATCCAGCAAGCAAGCATTCAACACATGCAAAGGCACTAAATACTGGTTCATAGTATGCCAGAAAAAAACATTGTTATTACTGATTTAAAGTGGGTAACTCACAAGTTTCACTACCAAAGATTTAAAGTGGGCACCAATTAAAAGTTAGAAGTTGGTATATAATATGGTAGAGAAGGAGGATTATTTATGACTGGTCCTACCCAAATTATTTGTCTTTGGAAAGGTTGCATGTCGACACAATAAAAAAGAAGAACTCCACTCGCAAATATAATCAATAGAAGCAGATTCAATGAGATATTTTGACACACCCATCTATTTTAGTGTTAGCCTCTGTTTTTATAACTGGTTAATGCAATGAACTGGCTTTCTTTTTCTCGCAGATACTCTTAGAGATCATGAATTTGGTTAAGATGTTGGACTCTTTTGCCATTAGAGTTCTAGGTTCCTGTCTGCAGGAAATTGGAAAACTCTGAGCATACATTTTCATTTGCAATGAATTGCTGAATTTTCACCGTTACATCTTAGGTAAATCTACTAAAGTTTAATTATTTCTAAAATTGATTGCTGCTTGTTTTGCTCTACTAAAGCTTTGTAGGCTTATTGCTATTTTAAATTTTGTTCCTCAACTTAATTTATTCAGCTTAAATCTGAGAAGAACAAGTCCATTAGAGCACTGCAACTCAATGGAAGACACACCACAGTGAATACATATTGATTTTAAGGGCGACAACAACATGCTTATAAATTTGTAGAATACTTGGTCAAAAGCAAAGAAAGGGTGTTGCTGTAGTAGTATAGGTGTCAAACTGTCACTGCTATGTGGCGGACTATATGGAAACTCAGAAGTTTAGCTTTGTATTAGAAAATTAATTACCTGCTTGCTGATTCTATTGTCATATTCTGTTTACTGTATGTGACTAGCTGATGGTTTGTTATGTATTACAGAAACCTAGAGTAGAGTGAGCGAGCTGGATTTGATAATGGCAAGAAGCTTGTTGGTGGTGGTGTCACCATTCTCTTTCTGGTACTAGTAGTTATATAGTATGAGACTATGAGTTATAGGTACTTGTCTTTTGTAATTTGAGCATGTTATGTTATTGTCAAGACCTTGAAAGTCTTGTCTGCTGGACTCGAGAAACAGCACCTAGAAGAATTTTATGGCTGCACAAGAGTAGTTTAGAACTTAAGTTGCATGCTGTCAGCACTGCTGGTGTGACTATGGATTGGAGATGTTTTGTTCTCTTGACTGAATATTTGAATCATTGCAGTAAAGTCATAGTGGTCTTCCTCTGCTGAATCCATAGTAGTTTAGCTTTATGTATGAAAGCTTATGTCTGTATGAAAGATTTTAAAGTTTGGATGCATCCAATGTTAATGTTCTAATTTGATATTGGTCGAAAGGGTTGCATTGATACCTTGGTTTTGGGGACATTTCCAATAACGCCTCCATCAAAGTTTGAAGGCAAATTCCAGAGTGCCTCTAAATAGTATTCTAGGCAGCCAGAAAATGCCTTTAATTCCGCAAAAAAATGATTTGATGTTGATATTAAAAAATCATATTTTTTTTATGATTAAATGAAAAAAAATTATGAAAATTATAGATCTTGGACGAGATCTACAACTTTCTAGTTTTGAGTTTTTCTCTTTACTTCCATGTTTTAGCTTTTCGTTTTTTCACACCTGCAGCTTGACGGCCATGCTAACGCCCAAACCGATTTAATAAATGCCTCAAAAGGTCTTTGAGGGCATTTTGACCATTTTTTGAGGCATTTATAAATGCCTTGTACAATGAGTGATGGTGTAGTGACAACTGAAGGTTCGCTGAAATCGACCCTAAGCTTATGGTGCGTCATAGCCGAATAAAAAAAAAATCTGAATCTTCATCCTCCCGTCCTTTCTCTCCACTGTGGTGTTGGACCCATACAAAAGCTAAAATGAACCATAGCCATTGTGCAGGATGCAGTAACTATCCCCTTACGCGGGCCCCACCTTAATGTGTGTGTGAACTGTGAACAATTCACGTTGCGCTTGCCCTAACACAAGAAGATTAAAAGTCTAGTAGAGTAGTTGGCCAATGAAAGAAGCCACCTTGGTGACCGGTGAGTGGTGACCCTATGTGATGTCTTAGGGCCCGTTTGGCACGGCTTCCGCCGGCTCCAGCTCCGCCTGACAAAATCTGCGTGATCACTGTAGCGATGAGCCGGGTTTCTCTCTCCACCTTTTCTGTCTCACTGTAGCGGGGGGTTACTGTAGCATGCGGGAGATGAAGCCAGAAAACGAGCTTCTCCGGCTTCGATGAACAGTGCGAGTGTAAGTCAGAGGGGGAGAGGAGGAGAGAGGAAAGCTGCTTCTGTAAACAGTACACTACAGTGCCGGTGTCAGCGGAAGCCGTGTCAAACGGCCCCTTAGTCTCAGTGATGATGTAGTAATAGCGTTGCGTTTGCGTGTGATCGGTCCGGCACTGCGGGAGCCACAGCCACATGCATGGTTGATGCCCAGCTGCAGGCTTGCAGCACATGCACCTGGGCCTGTTCGTTTCGCTGAGAAGGCCGATTAAAAAGTACTGCTCGTTAATTTATTACCATGGCTGATTTCTCATTTACTACTACTTTGTTGTGGCTTATAGATGGTCAACAGATGGTACAGTAATTCTGCGATCCAGCAACGTGAATGATGAGCTCGCCGGCATCGGCAAGCGAGTACTCATGTACAAACCGCCTGCTGCACAGCAGGAAGAACGTGGGCGCCAAACTGCCTGAGCAAGGACGGTCAAAAGAGATATATGCGCATGCTCTGGCAGTTCATGACCATCGTCATGCATGGTTCTCGCATGGGCCAACTAATAACTCCCACTACTAGTTCAGTTGTCCAATGCAAGATTACCTGCCAATGCAAGTTCGCCACATATATATGCAGTGCTTGCTCAGTTGCTCATGCCGTAGTGGAGGACTGACCCGTAGCTCTCTTGTCAGTATTCAGTAGCAGTAGCTCAATCGCTGACAGGGTATTCACCATGGAGGGCGGTCGACGTTCTTCCACCGCGCTGCTGCTCCTCGCGCTTATGCTCGCCGCCAGCAGCACTAACGCTGCAGCGGCGGCGCAGCGCCGCCATCCGCCCGCCGACGGGAGCTACAAGCTCATCACCATTCTGACCAGTCACGGTGACAAGGTCAAGTTAGCCGTGAGCGCGGACGACTCGTCCATCGCCGGCTTCGCCAACGGCAAAAACGACTGGTTCGCCATACAAGGAAGCGACGACCTCCTGGAGCCCTTCCGCAACAGGTACGGTGGCGGCGGCGGCGACATCCCCGGCCACGGTCTAGTCAATCTGCTGGGTGCGCTGCTAAAGAAGAATGCCACATCGTAGGGCATCTGCTCTTTCTAGCCCACTAATAAGCTACAATCGCGTAGCAGGTCACTGTGGTGCTAGAATTATCGTTCGTGTGTAACTAACTTGTTTTCCTAACTTTTTAGTCTGTCCTCTTTCATGCTGAATGTATCCAAAGTGTGCGTTCAACTGCTGTTTGTGTTGAGCTCCAGTTTGATGTTACCATCATACATTTTTCTTTTATTATAGAACCTTGGCGAAGCTACAATAAAACTAGGGGTACAATATTAAAGAGACGATAAAACTCTTTACCGAAATGACTAATCATGTATATTGGTTGTTGACACTGTAGCAACACAAAGATAATGTTAACATGGGCAAAATACATATGACAAGTGTTTAACATCACAATATGGTCAATGGCCAAAAATAATTAATGAATCAACAAAATTTATTAAATTTTCATATTTAAAGTAAAAAATAATGACCCAATGAAATGAAATGGAATATATCAATTATCTCTTAATCATCCAAACTAAGTCCCTTTCTATTAGTTGATATCATCAGATCAAAAATTCCTGACATTAACTTTTGGACGATTATAAAGGCACCTTCTATAAAATGGTTCTCCTTTGGAACACAGTCAGAACCAGAGTTTCATATGGAACCAGAACAAAAACAGGAATTTACGCATTCTATAGGGACATTCATTGTGTAGAGGATTCAAGTCAAGAACACATAAAAAAATACGTGCCGATTTCTTTGATTCCCGGATCCCTAGTTTGAAGAATGAAAGCAGAACGGTATGGACCTTCATGTTGCAACTTGAACATCAAATTCTCCTCTGTTCGGCAATTTTTGTTCCAATTTATCTAGAATAAATATATTGAAACCCAAGTATGTGTAACCCTACAATGCAAACAACTTGATAACTGCCATGGACACTTGACAGCTTGAAGAAAGTAATCAAATACTTTGATTAGTTGGTTCACATGAGGTAACACTGCTGGCTACATGATCCGTCTGTGCTAGGTTGTGGGCAGCACGGGCATTGTATTGCGCAGAATGAAGCGAGCCTATATTACAGAAACAACATAACACTACTACATTAAGACCTTTTCACAAGCGATTCGTAAAGCCCATCACAAATGCTTTTCGGTCTCGGCAATAAGCTGTCGTTAGTGATGACATTCTCATCACAGGCGGTTTGCAACCGGCGGTGATACTAGGTTATCACAGTCGGTTCGTACTACCAGCCGGCAGTGATTTGAATTTTCAATAATCCCAAAAACGGGCAAAAATTTTTGTTTCAATGCTTCATTGTACTAGGAAGCTGCTTCAGTTCAGCTCCACGCTATTTTATATGGTACACAGTGGTGCTGCGATTTGAACCTAAGACCTTTGCCCTTAGCTCCGCTAACCACTTTATCTCTAAGTCACTTGTGTCTATGTAGCATATTCATTTCCCTAGTATTCACTTTTCAGAAATTAAAATGAATATTTAGGACCCTAAACGGCTTCAGATGAAAAAGTCATAAGCTATAAATTTATTGTTCTAATCGAGATCTACAACTTTGATTTTGGTTGTTTTGCCATTCGAGGTCGTTTGATCGATAAATTTGAATTTTAAAACATCAAAACTACAACCAGACTTTTGGGACCACAAATGATTTCAAATGAAAAACGCATCAACTATAAAGTTGTTGTTCTCATCGAGATCTACAACTTTGGTTTTGGTCGATTTTCCATCCGAGGTTGTTTGAAAATTTTGATTTTTTAAAATTTTAAAACTTCGGATACAAATTTGAGACTATAAATGATTTCTAATGAAATAGTTGTCAACTACAAAGTTGTATATCTCATCAAAATCTACAACTTTGGTTTTGGTTGTTTTCCATCTAGGGGTGGTTTGTATAATTCAAAAAAATTGAATTTCAAAATTTGAGCGCTTCAAACATAATTCTGAGACCGTAAATGGTTTCAAATGAAAAGTCATCAACTAGAAAGTTGTCGATTGCGTCGAGATCTACAACTTTGATAGAAAGTTTGTTTTCATCTGACTTTATTTAAAAAAGTTATGAATTTATTTATACTACAGCATGGTTATCACCGCCGTATCATACAACGAGCTGGCGGTGAAAATGTCTTCACCACTGGTTCATATGGCGAGACGACGGTTATGAGGAGCACATCATCACCGCCCGGCTGGTGGTGCAAACCGGCTGTGATAATAAACTATCACCGTCGGTTGGTAAGACGAAGCGGCGGTGATAGTTATTGACTCGGACGTTCTTACGAACCGGAGGTGATACTCTTATCGCCAATGGTTCATATTACGAACCATTGGTGATAGCTATCACCTTCATTTTTAATGATACCAGCGATGATAGATGCATTGGTGGTAGGTCAATCTGCAGTAGTGTAACCAGATGGTAATTAGTTAACAACAGTGGATACAACTGTGAACTGTTTATTGTGCAAAAAAGCCCAACCAAACGGAGGACGCTAATGCGCGACGGGAGGGCGCGAGCCCTTATTACTCCCTGAGCCGCCTCCTCCCCGCCCTTTTCTCCCTCCGCACGCCCCTCCTCCGCCACCCCACCCTCCCGGTCGAGCACCCCGCGATCGTCCTCGACCCCGGCCCTCCTCCTCCTCGCCCCTGCCGCCGACCACCACCCCGCCGCAACACGCTAGGGTTTTCTAGAGCTCCACAAACCCTAGCACGCCCGCGGCGGCAGCCTTCTTCCCCTCCCCTTCTCGCTAGAGCTCCGCCATGGCCATGCTCGCCGATGATGCTGAGACGCCCCTGCCCCTCCCTGGCCCGGCCTCCTTCCCCACCCCCTAGCCGGCCTGCCTCCCCCTGACCGGCCCCTTCTAAGCCCGCCTTAATAGGGGATGGAGGTGCCATAACCCTAGCCGTCGGCATCGTCTTCTTCGTCTCCGCTGCGGGCATGATCACAGGCACGGGAGGGAGTGGGAGAGGGAGAGGAGACGTATGGGAGGGAGGTCGCGCCATCGCGCAATGTCGCGACAGTCACGTATTAGAGTTTGCGCAACCAAACAACCACCTAAGTTGAAATGAAGCATACATTTAAGCATCAAAACTACGTGTCGACGTTAACTTGCTCAAAAGTTAAGTGGCAATGAAACATAGAGTTGATGCATGGAAAGTATGTGATAATTATATATCACTGCCCATTCTTATGCAAAATTAATTTGTCCACTAAATTATCCTAAAATATCCTCTGATGTCACCCTTGTCTCTCTCAGTATATGGCAATAGACAATACATCCTAGAACAGAACCACACCATTTTTTTCTTGCAAGATTAGCATGACTATGCCGGACTAAATCAGCAACATTATGAAATATTTAACATGGTCCGATGATTGAATCATCCAATTCCTTTTCAAAAGTGAATCGTGAGTGTTTATACTTTTGACAATAGTAGAAAAATACAAACAAGCCCAATCCAACCCCAAACTACCATAGCCTTCATGCCATTTTTGTGTCAATCGACTAGTCGCTACTCCTTAGGGAGGAATTGAACATTAAAACTAATTGGGGAGCCCTAGCTAATATCGTTGATGCAATGGTTTTGGCCAAAATATCACAAAACAACATTTTTTTTATAAAGGCTCCATGCAAATGGATTTCGCCCGTGGGCTATTCTTTTTTCTTCTGAGGAAGCCCGTAGGCTATCCTAGTAGTGCTGAAAAACAACTTTGCAAAAGACGCACACTACCATGCAAATGCACCAGCTACTTGAACCCAAGTAATTCTTATTAGCACTCATGCTACTCTGCATGGTTTTTACAAACGTCCTTATTTTTTTTAGGAACGGTTAATACAGTAACTAGTAAACCATCTCTAAAATATTTTGCTGCAATGTAGTTTTCGAGCCGTCCCTAGAAATCAGGGCCTGTTTGGTTCCACCCCCTAAAGTTTAGTGGCTCCTAAAATTTAGTGACCCCTCTAAAGTTTAGTGACTCCCTGTTTGGTTATAGTTACTAAAAACCACTAAAGCAGCTATTCTATGTACACTTTAGTCACTTTTAGCTACCACTTGGTGACTAAAAGCCACTAAACTTTAGTAGCTTCTAAACTTTAGTGGAGTGTTTGGCATTTTAGTAACAAAAAGTGACTCCACTACATTTTAGGAAGGGTGAACCAATCAGGCCCTCAGTTTCCTGGAGCAGTTGACTTTTTTTTTTGGAATTTGGAGCAGTTGACTTAGTAAAACAAGATATTAAACAATCACCTCTTGAAATCATGTTTTTTAAGTGGATTTTGTTATTTGCAAACCGCCCTTAGGAACGAGTAGATATTAAACAAAGAAGAGTTGATTTTACTGTGAAACACGGCACGGACAGTTCGCAGGCGCGACTCGAATGCATGTACTTGCTGCATATGTGTTAAGGTTGCATTGGCCGTTGGCACTGATTCGTCCTGTCTCTACAAAGCGTCTCCTGCAGAGGGTAAAGCGTTGGCACTGCGGTAGGAAGAACATAGGAACGTGGGCGCCAGAGACTGCCTAAGCAAGGACAGTCAACAGAGCCGCTTGCATATTACCATATCACCCATCTTGCACTTGATGTACTATAGCCACTACGGTAGTTGTGCAATGCAATCCTTGTGATTGTGCGTTTCCACCATGTATGTATATACTGGCCTCCGTTTCCACTCGACCAGGTCGATCCAGCGATCCACCATTCGAGATGGAGCGTCCTTCTCTTTCCATGGCGATATTCCTTGTCGTCCTCATACATGGTAACCATCTTGCTCTGCTGCCCAGCAACAACATCGACCAGGCACAGGCTGCAGCTGCAAAAGCGAAACGCGGCGGCACGCCGGAGCTGATCCCCATCAACCTCGTGGGCCGCGACGGCGACAAGATCACCCTGGCCCTGCAGCCCCACGACCTCTCCCTCGCCGGCTTCGCCAACGGGAGCCACCACTGGTACGCCTTCCCGGGGTACGAGCACGTGATCCGCAACGGCACGACGCTCCCGTTCGGCAACAGCTACCGCGACCTCATCGGCAGGCTGGCGAACCTGCCGAGCCTGCCGCTGGGGCGGGAGCCCGCGCTGCGCGCCATCGGCGCCATCTCCGCGTGCGACGACCCGGCGAGCGCGGACGACGACACGCTGGGCGCGGTCAAGCGCGGGCTGGCCACGCTCACGGTGACCAGGTGCGAGGCGCTGCGGCTGGCGCCCGTCTGGGAGACTGTCTCCGACGGGTGGGAGAGCGGCGACGCCCGCCTCACCGAGCAGCACCTCTGGTACATCGAGCACTGGGACACCATCTCCTTTGAGGTCATCCGCGCACACAAGACGGGCCAGTGGAACGGGCCGTTCACGGAGCTGCTCAGGAAGAACGCCAGCATCCACAGCAAGGAGGAGGCGCTCGCCGTGGTCAGTGTCGTTCCTATCCCACCTTGGCTCAGATTCTCTTGGCGCACGCTCGCAGTGCCTGACCAGCTGAGCCTGACTGACCTATTAGCTATTGATCTTGAGTTTTTGACTGCTGCTTCTCAGAATAATAGGCTACTAACCTAGAATCATCAGTAGCTTGCCTGCTTGTTATCGGTCTCGTGTGTGTTTTAATGTGTCCCAGTTCCGAGTTTCCAACAACTACACTACTTGTTTTTGTATATTGAAAGGTTAGACTGCGCTTTGAGTTCATCGGCTGGAGTGCGTTCTACTTTTCCTCCTATGGTCCTGCTCATGTAAAATAAAACAAACAGAGAAGAGAGGTTGCAAGCGCGTTGGAAACAAACTCCTTCACATAAAAAATGTGATCTTACCTTCTCAAAATACATCTTTTTGACATCCTCTTGCATTTGCAAAGATTTTTTTTTATAATAAAGCCCCCTCCATTTAAACTTGGAAAGCTGTTTTTAAACATGAAGATATCCTACACTAGTGCAGGATAAAATCTGAAATTCATCATGTTGTCATGGCTTGAGTTGAAAATTTTTGTAACACTGGTTGTTGTACATTCTTTTAGATTTTAGCCTTATGTAAACTCAATTTTGAATATACAATAATCTTTTCATTGTGTGCATTTCCCTCACACCCCGTTTGGATCTATGAAATAGGCATGAAATTGAGAAATTTGATATTGGGCAAGCTCAATGCCACACGATTAAGTGTCCACAGAATTACAGCATGGAAACCAATACCAATTCCAAGCGGTACCTGGGGTCACCTATGCGAGCCTGCGCTTGATTCCGAGCTCCTGCCTCAGTACTGGCTAAAATCGCCCCCGTCCCTTGGACCTACTTTACCCATCTGCTCCCTTCCCATCCTTTTTCGCCACCACCCACGCAGGAGGACCAGCGATAAGGTAACTCTTCCGCTGACTATCTTCTCTATGCCTTATCCCAATCTTTAGCTCTTGATTTACAGGAAATCTCGCGCTTCTTCCTCTCAATCCCTCCCATGTCACCATCTTCTTGTTCCTCCAATGGAGGCTGAAAACATCAAGATGTCCAAGAGGGAGACGAAATAGGCTATTTCTAAATTCTTTAAAATAATTAAACCCTACACTTAGCCCACTTCACCCTTTGTGCCTAGAATATATTTCTATTGATCTTACGCATAAAAATTTCGCATCCTAGGTTCTAATTCTAATTCTAGCATGGTAATTCTAGAAATGTAAAGACTTAAAATGAATTGCTCAAATGTAAATGTTCAAAGTAAAGAAAGAAAGAAACGCGACGATGTTTTCCCAAGGTATCGGAGAGTCACCACTCCCCACTAGTCCTCGTTGGAGCACCCGCGCAAGGGTGTAGCTCCCCCTTAATCCACGCAAGGATCAAGTACTCTCTACGGACTGATTCTTCGACACTCCATCATGGTGAATCGCCCACGACCGCTCACAACTTGAGTTGGATCATTCACAAGCTCCGCCGGATGATCATCAAACTCTTAATCACAACCAAGCCGTCTAGCTGATGCGATCACCAAGAGTAATAAGCACAAACTCTCACTTGACCACGACAAGCCTAATGAGAAGGGTGGATGCACACTTGCTACTCTCCTTGCACTAATAAGGACCTTAATCTTGGATTCTCAAGTCTCAATAACCTCACTAGACTCTTGCTCTCCCTTACACTCTCAAGATATTTCTCAGCTGAACAAATGAGCAAGAGACCTCTCTTAGACGAATAGAGTAAGTATTTATACCCCCTCATTCAAAACATAACGTTTGGAGACTGAGTCAGCATTCTGTGACCAAACGCTCCGGTCAAGGTGACCGGATGCTCCGGTCAGTTATACCAGCAAAGAGCCGATAAGTTTTGACCGGACTCTGACCTACAGCTGATCAGCACTGACCGGACGTGTCCGGTCAAGAAAAATGATATCTAGAACCTTACTGATGTTGACCGGACGCTGGCACCTAGAGTCTGGTCAATTCACTGTTCAACATCCAGTTAGTTATCGGATCCTAACCAGCGTCCGGTCAAGAAAATCCTTCTCCTGAACCTCTCTGGAGTTGACTGGACGCAGACACCCAGCGTCCGGTCACTTTTCACTCAACGTTCGATCAGTACCAGACGACTGTAATTGATCAAATGAACTGACCGGACTCACCCTCCAGCGTCCGATCACAACCAGACCATCGTCCGGTCAATCATTTGACCCTCCATTCACTTTCAACTCAAAATTTTATATGAATGAAATTTGCTCTAATTGATCTTAGGGCTACTCCTGAGCTAACTAGTGCTAGGTTTGACAAGTGTGCACCACACCTAACCCACTAGACTCACCTTGGTCAAGCTACTAGTCCATACCCCCCTTAATAGTATGGCCAAAGGAAAAACAAAGTCCTAAACTACTCTAAGTGTCTCTTCAATACCAAACGACACTTAGAACTAGTTCATCCTTAACCTTGTCTTCCATCTTTTGAAAACCGAAACGATTTCCATCGATGGGGGCTTGACAACCATAATTGCCCAATCAATTGCCATTATCATGACTTAACTCAAATTGCCTCTATAAAACACACGTTAGTTATTGTAATCTCGTGTCGTCATTAATCACTAAAACCCAACTAGGGGCCTAGATGTTTTCAATCTCCCCCTTTTTGATGATTGATGACAACACAACCTCGAGTATGTAGAAGAGACTAGTGAGGTTTTCAATATGTTTTGTTCATATAAGCTTTTGACAATAAGAGCAAAGGGGTTAGATATGCTTATATGACCCAAGCCAACATGGTGTACTCAATAGATATGAATTAAGCATGAGTACATAAAGTAAAGCTCATTTGAATCGGAGTAAAACGTGGAAGCAAAGCAATAGAGCATAACCAAGTGACATGACATATATAAAGATATCAATGTAGAGAGCACACATGTCACATAAGTCTCACCATCACAAGTATGTAATGCAATGCATGAAAAAAAACATGAATGCACAAAGTATCACACATAAAGAAATGAATCACATGCTCCCCTAGATCTAACATACTCGCTCCCTCTCCCCCTTTGGCGTCAAGTACCAAAACCTAAGGGTCGGATGGTGGGACAGGAGCAGTCGAGTCGGGCGCTGAGGTGCGGTGAGAGATCTAGAACTGAGCAACAGCATCCTCTGACCCTAAACTCTGAGCGGTCTGACCCTCTATCGCTGGAAGTGAAGGTGAAGCGGTCTAGGTCTGCTTAGTAACTGGCATGGCCTGTGACTCTAGAAGTATCACTGTAGAAAGTGGAGCCACATCTGCCTCTCTATCGCTAAAGCCTCAAGGATAGGAGTGACTATTTGAGGAGGCTCAGATGATGCAACAGACAATGGGATCGTCTTAGTAGTCTCGATAACTAGAGCAGCTGTGGTAGGAGCAAGAACTCAGAATACTAGAGGAGTAGGTTGCCTTGTAAGCTCACTGAAAGTAGCGCTGAGACTCCTGGATACTAGGGTGTCCGACACTAACCCTGAAGAACTCTGAGTCGGAGTGAAGCCTATAACAATAGGGGTAAAGTGCGGACCCTACGCAGTCACTGGGGAAGCAAACCACTGGGACACCTGCTTTGTAGGTGAAGCAAACTAAGTAGCTGGTAGTCCCTGACTCTGAAGCCCACTGGGATGTACAGCTAGAGTCACTGAAGTGGTGGTAGCAGGCTGGCCTATCTGAGGTGTAGACTGCTGAGGAGCAACCCCAATAGTAGTGAATACATGCTGCATGAAGCCAGGTAACAGCTGCTGAATTACAAGCTATTGATGCTGCATGGCCTACTGCTGCCTCTGGAACTCGTCCTGTTGAGCCTGAACTTGAGCAAGTGCAGCTGCGGCCTCCTGTGCCTGACGTGCCTGGTCCTGCCTCATCCGCTCAAGTACTACAAGGAGTGCTGGATTTGTCTATGGTGGCTATGGTGGAGCAGAGCTAGAGCCACTAGCCTCTCTATCATGTGGTCGAGGAGCCATCTGTGGAATCGGCTGATAATAATCATCAGAGCTGTCACTCGGGTCACTCTCGACTATATCCTCCTATTGAGCATCAAGCTCCTCCTCCTCTGTCACTACAATGCCCCTGATGATCTCATCCTGCTGGGCTACTATCTCTGGTACCTCTAGGCGACAGCTCGGCTAGCGAGGTGTCCTCGCACGACTATGACGTAGCATCTGGGTCATGTCATATGATGAAAACTCAGTAGTAGCACCTGTGTATTCTGCCATCGTCTCTGGGGACTTCTGTGTAACTGCCTTTCTGATTAGGAACGTGATCCAATGAGCATAAGGCAACTGACGGTGACCTCTGAAGCCCTCTGCTAGGTATCCTCCATCTCTAAAAGTATGACATCACAAATATCAAATACGGTCTAAGACACCAGAGAATGCACTAACCATAGCGGAATGCGAGTCAAACCCTCGTGATAACCCATCCTCGAGAGCAGAGTCCTCCTCATAATAACATCAAGAAGCCAAGCTGTAGGTGTAAGATCACATGGTATCCTGGTCGACCCCTCACCAAACGGCTCTATGAAGCATGGTCGGACAAGATCTATGGGTGGCACAAGTCTACCGTGAGGGCGTCTCAGAGGCTCTGTCTGACCATAGCAAACCTCGTGAAGGCGAATAGGTGACTCTAGAATCCTGAGAATCTCTCTGACCCTCGAGCTCTGGAGCCTGTAGTCACGGCCGCTGAATGCAAAGTGAATGAATTTGTGCCTCGGGTCAATCCAAAGAGAGGAGTAGAACTCACGGACCCATGACGGAATAAAGCGGCCAGTCCATCCAAGGAGATCTGTCAAGCCTCGAAGATAGGAAAGGTGGGGATGGATCTGCTCACCTGTAGCTACAACTATAGACTCTATAGAGTAGACTCTCTGAGATCTGAAGGCAACTCCACTGTTCAGATAAGCATTATAAAAGTCCTCCTGCAACATAGTATATAAGTGCTCTAAAGCACGCTCATCCCGCCTCGGTGGAAACCAGTCCTCAAACTGCACAAAGCGGAGCTACTGCACCTGTCTAGCTGTAGCTGCCCTCAAGTCAAGGTGAACCACTAGAGGCGGACCCTATGGTCTGGGAGGTGGATGAGAGCCCCTCCTCTGTGT